TTTGATGCGCAAGGCACCGCTTCGGCCGAATTCAATAAAGAAGTTGGAACTTAATTCTAAGACAAGCTCCAAGCCATCACAAGATCGCGCGAAATCATCTCATTTTGCAACATCATCAAAGCCATCCAAATCACCCTCGCCACCAACACAAGAATCTAAGCAGCCAACTTCAGTAAAAGACAACAAGGGCAAACTAACAGGAATTCAAGATACTGAAAACCCTGCTGAAGAATCCTTCATCAACTCGCAAATTCATTCATCGCCGCCGGCAGTTGCATCACGCAAATTTACATATACAGCACATGTTCAACGGCAACGGCAAACAAACCTTAAGCTGACACAGACTCCAGCTATTGTGTTCTCATCCCCCACATTGCCACCACCTATCCAGTCACTAAGGCAACCATCCGAGAGGCCAGAATCTTCGAACACAAATGCATCATCACCAGCTGAAAAGGCTGGTCGCATTTTGCAAGATATTGTTATACCATCATCATTGCCCAGAAGTAGATCCGAGAGTCTAGCTAGCCCCTTTAAGAGTCCAGCAACAGGGAGAAGATCTAGCTCAAGCGCACATCCAGATACCAACATTATTCGTTCTGTACCTGCCGAGCAGCCTCAAACGTCACTGCCAAAATTAGATCACAATGGAGACTTGGGTTCTAAACATTCGCGGAGAAGAAGCTGGAGTAGGCCTGTTCTCGACGAGAATCCATTTGTTGGAAACGGGGCGGCACAAAGACGTCCATCTACGGATAAATCCCAAAATGTCAATCTTGAGCTACCTAGCAGCCGTCGCATGTCGGTTTCCATTTATGCGGCGGTCATTCCTCAGCACGAGTCGTCAAGAACTATCAATTCTACGAATTCGCAGCATGAAGAGAATAGCCACAATGGAGCCGTTGAAAAGCCAGTGCCGTCGTCATCGTCATTGGATAAAAACCCCGTGGAAACTAAAAGAACTCTGAGTAGCTTGCAAGAGAAATGGGCTGCACAACGAGCTGCGATAAGTAAACAAATCTCTACAGCCAGTAACAATGAAGTTATGGTTCTAAGTTCCGATGATGATGACGATAAGGACGAAGATGAAGATTACGATGATAATGATCTGGTCGCAGGTAAAGAACAGGAAAATTTACCCGGAAAGATGCGTGCCAATCCTGAAGACGATGATGATGTCGATAATAGTGTCGATAATAATGAAGAAGAGTTTGAAGACGATGAAAGCTTTGGACTCTTACTGGAGACTCTAGATGCTTCCAATCAGGAAAACCAGCTTCACTCTGACAAATCCGACCACGCGGAACGGCCTAAACGAAGTAAAATTCCTAGCCCGTGGAGAACAAATAGCAAGCGTTTAGTCTACAGCGATGAGCTTGCCAGTCTATCACCTGACCATGACGCAGAAGCTCCCACGGTTGAAGAGCCCTCGCCAAAAAGCGTTTCGAAGCAGGTTGATGTATCGAAAAGCTCTCAAAAAAATCCTCAGCCCGATAGTGACTCGACCCTTGACTTGTCTGGGTGGCAGATACCACAGAAGCAGAATTTTCAGCCAAAGATTCGTAGCCTGGGTAATACGAAACCTGATATATCTGCACTTCCACGATCATCGCCATTTGGCGGGCTACCAACTCTGTCTAACAGAGAAGGCCCGAGCACTGAAGGCCAATCATCGAGAGAGGTACCATCTCCTCGGGCATCACATTTTGACTCTCCTCAGGACAGTTCATCTGGCGATGCCGAGGAAGAAACGAGCTCATTTGCTCCCATCCCCCAAAAAGTGGGATTCCAACCTCGAATTCGTAAGAATGGTGATGCGCCAACTGCAGCAATCTCTCAATCAATAAGAGGTATTTTTGGAAAACTGGGAGCGGCAAGGAGCAGTTTACCAACCCCAGAAACATCATCATCGTCCTTAGTCGGTGCTCTGACAAATACATCACCGAGCAGGAGCAACAAGCTCGAAGTTCCTACCATCCAACCCGATCCTGTCCAGAGTTCGCCTTCCCAACCTTCAGTACCTAACGCATCAGTGCCCGTTAAAATAACAGAAAATCGACAGCTTCAAAATCCTCAGCCAAAATGGACCGAACATCGTCTCGAAGCTCCCATTCCTCCTTCCCCTGCAAAATCTATACTCCGCTCACCTCTACGCTCTACTGCCCCGCCGTCTCAACCTTCCCCTAGCAAAAACGTCGTCTTTGCTTTCTCCTCTCCACAACCTAGTTCTCCTCTAAACCCCCAACTTTCTCCTACACACTGGACACGCGATCACTGGCTTCTTCTCGACTCCATTCTACAAACCTGGAAGCCCGAGAATCAAAATCAAGAGGCCTCGGATTCCGAGGCAAATTCAACTGGATCTTCAAATTCTAAATACGGGATAAGGAATTCCACAAGAGTTATTAGTGGATTGTTAGGAAAAGTAGTAAATCTCAAAGATAAAGGAGTGGGCATTGGCGAGGGAGGAGTCAGGGTCTTTAAAAATAGGAATAAAGAGGGAAAAGAAATCGGGAATGAGAAGATGAGATTGGAACAGTGGCATTTGGAGGCGGTGGATGAGTTCAGGGGAGAAGTTCCAGGTTGGGATGAGGCGGTTGTGGCAAAGAGGGTTTTTGCGCTACTAATAGGAGAGGAGAGGAGGCGGAAGGGGGTTAGTTCTTAATGATTGCGGACACTGTGGGTACGAATAAATGGCGAAGTGTGATTTGATCAAAGCTATGCTTGAGCTTTGGACAATGGCTATGGGGTTCTGAGAGACGGGTGCATAGTTGGATAAATCACATCACCCACCTCTACTTTCTTTTGTTCTACTCTGTAAATATGTACGTGTGGTTTTGTGGGGGGGGGGGGGGGGTTCTGGAACACATTATGGTTCTGGTATACCTTGTATTTGGAGCTGTCTTGAGCGAACGAGCGAGCTCATCATTTGGAGCACTTTGGAGTCAAGGAATGTCGGGAGACCTGGGTAGCATAAGCATAGCGTGCATGTATGATTTTGGGAGCGAAACGTGTGGACTGTAAAAAGCAAAATGAGTTTGCTGGCACTTCTTTTGGCTGTTTTGGGTACGAAGTTTTAGCCCAGGAGAACTACGTGTATTATTGTAAGAAGCCATATTATGATAGGAAGAAAGAGAATTGAAGAAATTGGACACCAAGAGAGAATTTGCTGTGCATGTTTTGGTGGCATGACTTGTATTTGTGTTCCTTTTACTATTCATGAATGAAAATGCGTTCGAATGTTGGAACTGTGAATTAAAAGCCATTTCATATCATATCATATCATTTGCCCTCCTCCAGTCTTTACGCCTCTATGATACAAGCATGCATTATCTTCCCATCTAGCCTTCCAGCCGCCAGCCTACTCGAGCATACTCGCTTGGTTGGTATAAAGCACATCGACCACACTGCTCAATTTCTCAATCGTTGCCAATGCAGCATCATATCCTACATCTCTCTCCGTCTCATCGTAAATAATCAAACATCCAGCTCCTTGATCCAATACACCAATAATCACCTTATCGAGAATCATCTGTGATAACTTTCTCTCTACTTGTTGTGTATCAAGACCGACCATCTTGGCAATATGGGCAATTTCGACGCGTGAAAAGGGCTCGATTACTTTGATTAGATTCTGTTCCAACATGGCATCATAGAGACGACGGAGATGGTTGCGGATGAAGATATCGGAGCCGAGTTCATGACGGTAATCGCCAAGTGCTTTTTCATATTCTTCTAGAGAACGGTTCGAGTGGGCACGAGCGACGGCTTTCATGGCTTCGAGATTCTTGCCTGCATATTTGATGGCTTGTTTGGAAGTCATGAGCTGGTTTACATCGTCGGCAAGGTTGAGCATAATTTTACAAAGAAGCATGTATTGAAGCGCTGCGGTAGCTTTCTCCGGCTCATCTTGTGTGTGGTATCCATCTAATGCTTCGATAAAGTAGGAAAATGCGGTATTGAAGTCTTTGTCCTCGGCGTGAAGCTTCCCAGACTGCATATCGAGGCCGGCTTGGAGAAGAGGGGGGGTATACACAGATGCTGCGCTTGTTCTGGCAGCGGTAAGTGCGGCGCGTCCTTTGGCTGTGTTTCCTAAAGCATGGTAAACGCGGGATTCCAGAAGTTGAACTTCGACGAGGACAAGCTTATCATCGAGACGCTTGAGCTCGCGGAGGAGGCTGTTGATGAGGGTAAGAGCATCGTAGTAGTCTTGCTTGATCATGTAAAGGCTGACGAGACGGGTTTCAAGGTTCTGTCTTAGGAAGCCACGACGTTCGGATGTGGCCCATTCGATGCATGATTTTGTGACGGTAATTTGGGTATCTGTTGTGTTGGGAATGGCATTGAATAGATCCAGAAGTTGTCGCACTGGAGTTAAAGCTTATTAGCAGAGTCCTGACAATACCATTATATAGAACACTATCTAGCCAGACACGAAAGTTCCCAAGCTTCTTACCTAGCTTTGCTGTTTTAGCTTTTGCGAATGATGATAATACTGTCCGGCTTGTTGTGATCAGATCTACCAACTCATTTGCTTTCCTATACAAAAATCAGTGACTACCCCAAATTTAAGTAAGCTCTGGGTTATATGCCGCTCACTTTTCATCTCGATACAATTCTCCTAAGCTCACCAACGCAGTTTCATACTCTCGAACAGAAGCTTCTGATGTTACTGAAGGTGGTTTGGAGATGATGTCCTTGTATTCAGCCTCTGCCTTTCTTGGATCTGTCTTTGCCAACTTTTGGGCTTCTTGTATCCTTAATGATTCTGCTGGTGCCATATTTGATAATTGTAGAGAATTAATTTGGGTAGAGTTGTGAAGTTGTGTTTGATGTTTTGAAGGGAATCGCATTTGTAGGTAAACTCGCCATTACGATGCCACTAGGAACCTGGAGCTTGTGGGTACTGCGCTAGAAAGCAACACCCCTGCAAAAATTTATTTGGCTGGATTTTTATTGTCACCTCAATATTTCTTTGCGATAACTTCAACAATAACTTTCGAATTTTCAATAATGACAACAACATACTGATTTTAATATGGTAAGTTGAAATTATAATGAATCATTAATCTGTATACTTTGCTAATTCGGCTTCTCTATAGAAGATTAAAGCACTTAGTCGGGCGTCCATTCAGGCCCCAGGGTCTGAAGCCAAACAGCCCCGCAACCTTGGTATGTACAATTGACTCTATGAAGGCCACTGGGAGGCAGATATTGATACTTTCTATAGATCCTGCATTACATCCATTCGAAAGAGCCCGAGAATACACCCGCGCCCTCAATGCCACGAAAATGGAAAGGATGTTCGCCGCTCCTTTCATCGCGCAATTAGGAAAAGGACATGTCGATGGAGTTTACACAATGGCAAAGGATCCCAATGCTCTCGAACGTTTTGCGAGTGGTAGTGGCGATGGTGTTGTGAAGGTATGGGATTTGACCTCTCGGGATGAGATATGGCAAACTAGTGCGCATGAGAATATCATCAAAGGCATGAGTTGGACAAGGGACCAGAAACTTTTAACTTGCGCAAGTGATCGATCGATAAAACTTTTCGACCCCTACAATACAACTACTGGATCTGCGCCCGTGGCAACGTGGTTAGGGACCAATGCATTTACAAGTTTATCACATCACCGTTCGAATAATGCATTCGCAGCGGCATCTGGAGTCATCTCAATATACGATCTCGAAAAACAGAACGCGCCACCCGATGTTTTGAAATGGCCAAACTCGACCGATACTATTACCAACGTAGCATTTAATCAGGTCGAAACCTCTATACTTGCCTCAACCGCTACTGATAGGTCAGTCGTATTATATGATCTTCGGACTGGACTTCCCATTCACAAAACGCTGCTCAATTTTGCCTCGAATGCTATATCATGGAATCCTATGGAAGCATTCAATTTCGCGATAGCCAACGAAGATCACAATGTCTATATTTTCGATATGAGAAAGATGGAGAGAGCATTGAATGTTTTGAAGGGTCATGTTGCTGCTTGCATGGATGTAGAATTCAGCCCAACTGGTGAAGAGCTCGTCACAGCATCATACGACAGGACAGTCAGGCTGTGGAGCCGGACCAAAGGGCACTCAAGAGATATTTACCACACCAAGCGTATGCAGAGGGTCTTTTCGGCAAGATGGACACCAGATTCGAAGTTCATTCTTTCGGGTTCGGACGATGGCAATATTCGATTATGGAGAGCCAATGCTTCCAAGCGAGAAGGCATTAAATCGGCCAAACAGCGGACTGCTCTGGAATATAACGAGGCATTGTCGGAACGATATGCTCATATGCCCGAAATTAGACGCATCAAACGTCACAGACATGTTCCTAAGGTCATTAAGAAAGCTGGAGAGATCAAATCCGAGGAACTCAAGGCCATTAAACGCAGGCAAGAGAATGAACGCAAACACACTAAGAAGCAATTCTCGAAGAGACGAGCAGAAAGAGAGAAAATGGTTTTGGCAAACGAAAAGTAATATTATGTATGATTGTCTGGGACACACTATCTATGGGTGCGGAGTCAAGGTAACTGGCGGCATACGCGAGGCGTTTAGAGACTATGGCTGGTTTTGGAGTACCACGCATTATATTGATTGACTTGAAGATAGAAAATGGAGATGTGATAATGAATTTCAATCGCTGATACAGGTGCCCTGCACTTCTGTCAATTATGCCCCTGAATGAACAAAATGCTAATAGAGCAAGTGCTCATAATGTCTTTTCTGTTGCTACCATATGCTAAATCAACAGTCAAATCAAGCAAGATGATACTACCTTGCTTGAATCCCATTAGTTTTAACACAAGTTTGTGGAAAGATGATATCGAGCACTTCGACACGTATTTTGAACTTCAATTCAGTACTGTAGTCCTATCACTTTATTGAGTGATCGCATTGATTAAAGCTGTCTAGGATGATATCTTAATCCGACCGGAACTACTCTAAAAAACCCCTTCGGTATCATACCTCTTCCAGTTCACAAGTTATCTTCTATCACATCCCTATATCAATTAATCAAATTTTGATAGTCGGTCAGAAAATTGAACACGCTTAGAGCGATTATATACGTAACGCCCAACGCCCGGCTGCGGGTTTTTCATACTGCATACGAATTTTCTCACAAGTAAAAGGGAAGACGGCAATTGACAGGAAAGCAGTGAAATCGATATTCGAAAAAGCTCTCCTGTTGTTGGTACAGGCAGCATGGTAACGCTAATAATAACTATCCGGATGGCAAGCGTGCTACTTCACCGAAATCATGTTCGACGCTTCAATCGGATGCGCGTTCAGGAGGTAAAGATTTTGGTGACACTCTGATTCCGTCCAAATCCCTTTTGAACTATTCTCTTCACTTGAAAATGAGAGCTTTCGATGCCTTTGATCCTCCAGCACTAATAGCCGAAATGGTTCCAGCTAAATCAAATTACACACTGCCATTCCCACAGCCGTTGGTACTACCAGCATACAATCCCCGACATCGATTCTCAATGCAATAAATTGGAGACTTGGAGACTTGGAAATGAAAAGTCCTGAACTTTTCATGTTGTTTTGTAATTCTCTTCCGTTCCAGGTGTGTTGGCTTTGCCTGTGCTCAAGGGTCTCAGTATCTTATATCGGTATAAGGCGTTCTATTCCTCCAAATGTACATTGCTAAACAAATGATACATCCGACAGAAAGGAAAGTTCCTTGGTATCAACTGTGTCATAACGCCACCGTTCTACTCAACTCCTCAATAACAAAGGAATTTTAACGTGATGGTACCTCCATAAAACGTTTCCTTGTTTGAACTTTCATCTATTCATATGTATCTTGTACTATCTCATATTTCGTTTGCTGGCCGGCTAATATTTATGTCTACTGCCCGAATTAATGTTTCATCATAAGACTTGTAAGTCTCAAAAGGCCCCCTGTAAGGATTTGAACTCTCGAGCTGGAAATCTTGCTAAGATGAGGAGCTCATGGCAAGAAGTCTTGCGCACTCTCCGGCTTTTGCATTCCAATTTTGCATCTCTACCCTAGCCTGATATAGGCTGCGAGACTTGAGGTTCGCTCAGTATCTTCGAACCTTTATCCATCATGGCAATGACTTTGAATCCTATCGTTTGAAGTAGAAACAGGTTCAGATGATGTAAGTGATTGATTTTCAAAAATCTGAGTATTGTAAGTGTAAGTAGTCACAGTTGATTGACTTTTTCGTGACCTCCCTTAAACTTCAATAATATCTATATATATTTCTTGAGCCCGGCTCTCGAAATGAACAAACAGCAACGCATCTATACACCCCAATACTCAGGTAATCGAACACATCTTCCTAAGCATCTGAAGTTCCTCCGTTTGTATGTATTCATCACCTGTCATTGTAGTCCCTCAAATTCCTTTTCGTCTTGTAGCTAGTCATCAAGCCAGCTCAAAATCCAGGAATCCCTATATCCTCGAGATCATCTATTCGTTATCCAGACATTCGACTATCAGCTTCCAGTTGGTATATCACCAACCTCTTTGCATCTACTATGCGCTGTCCTATCTCTGGAACGAACAACATGTCAACACTTCCTCGGTGCACAACCAAGACTTGTAAAGCATTGCTCTCCATTAAATATTACGTCGAACATTACATCGTCACAAATAAGGAGTGAAGTATAACAAAAATGGCACCAATTGAGCATAGCATTGCAACTTCTGACGGAAAAGAAGTTACAAGTGTTCCTGATGGAGAGATGAAAGATGTGGTTATTGAGATTCGATTGTTTGGCTTTAGAGCATTGGTGGTGATCGTGGAGAACTATAGAAAGGACACTTGTGAGATGACTCCTAGTTGTGAACATAGCGGGGTTAAGGTTTCTTTCGCACAGAAACATCCTGATGATGTGCCGGGGGTGCGCTACAAGGCCACTGAGACTGCCTTTTCCCCCCTAGAATGAATAAGTCGAGGCGGCAAGTTTGATGGGACGAAGTTTAGCATTTAGGGGAAAGAAGTGGCGGAAATTTTATAGTTCAGTGAAGGAAATCCATTAGAGGCGCTCTGATTTGTTAGATGGATATTGCAATGATAAATTGAGAAGTTGAAGTGGAGATTTCATAGGACAAGTTGAGCATTTGGGGGGAATACGCCATGGGAGATTTATCATGTATCAAGAAATTTCATTTTAGAGATGTCCTGGCTGGCTTGTTAAATGGATAATATAATGGCAGATTGAAGGTTTATATAACGTCATTATCTTTATGAATAGTGACAAAGTTCAACATAAATTGCGAACTTTAGAGTAGCTGATTGGACTTGGAGTATACCACACTCATATAAAGCAATGAAAACAAAGAAATGAAATTTGAGAGCACAAAACTGCTCTTGTGCTGAATAGCACAAAGAATGTTGAATACATCAAGAACTGGGTTTGTTGCTCAATATTCTCAGCCTTCAAAGCCAATTACATATTCTATGGACTACAGAAAGGTGAATCAGGGAACAATGGATGGTTTCATCAATCTTTCAGTCTTTCTAGTGAGGTCTCCTCTGTCGGAGAGCCTTTTGTGTCTCTTGCGGGGTTGCAAGCTTAACACGACACAAATCTAATCCTGATCATCTCGAATCTTTGCCTCAGGAATCACTTCTTGGTACAATATCAATACTCCACAGTTTCAATACTACTGTTTCATCCCTTCATGTCCTTTGCTGCAAGAGTATCCTTGCTAGGGCCAACATAGATAGGACCAACAAGAGGCGACCGAAATGCTAGAATAAAATACTTCAGAGCATCCTTTCTAGAGATATGGCAGACTTGTAGCAGAGCTGGAGAATCGCAGCGTGCTTTGGCGTTGTATCGTCTTGGGTTCCTGGTGAGGAAGCCAGGAAAGCGCTTCGCACATATTTGCAGGTCTGATGATGACAGTTCGTGAATCACAGTCAATTAAGGCATACTTCCAAACCATGACTTATGACTCCTTAGGTAGCTGTATAAACAATTTAAGTTCCCGTTGTGACTGGGAAGGGGACTGTAATGCGGGTTGACTCATGGCGTTGAAGCATGTCGGCTGAATTTGGAGATAAAATCTTATTGCGTAGAAAGTTCTCCCGTCCTGCTACTTTATATACCCAACAAAGGTGGATTACGGGAAGTTTGCTCAACTGATCAGGTGTTTGAATAAGGTTACAGGAAGTAACATCGCAAGTAATAATACAAAGATCGACTGGCGCAAAGAGGTGAAGTGGCTAGTATATATTTGCATACGGCTGATTGCATTCTCCACTTGCAAAGAACGAGACTGGCTCCGATACAGCAACAACGTGACATTCCTCTATCTGCCTGTGACTACCTAGGTACCGGATGAGAAAGTCTTCAAAAAAAGTGAGGTCTCTTGAAGATGAGCTTCTATATTGTTCTTGGATTGCGTCAAGCACCACCATCTTCCATCGAAAAACGTGTTGTCCAATATTTCGGACTGAAGCCTGACAATAAGAAGCTTTAGATCCCCAGATAAATCCAAATGCTTGATGAAGTTGGACCATTAGATTGAGGTCTGCATAGTCCGTTGGTTTTGAATACAAAGACTGACTGCACTTGTGATGATCAGTCAAACTACGTGAGTGAAGTGGTGTGCTGTTAGCCATAGCACAGTGGTTAGGTATATTTTAAGGCGACGACAATAATCGAAAATCTAAAGTTGGTCTGTGCTCAATAAATTTGTCGAGACGCGATATCAGCGCGCAGAGTAGTGGAAACTTATTCAAACGGCACTACAACATTCCACTATACAGGAGAGCGTTGTATTAATTTTATTCTAGCCCTTCACCCTTTTACTCTTCACTTCAGATATACAAGAAAATTTCCAATATGCAGGCGCCTGTAGTAGTAATGAGTAAGTTTCGAACGCTTTGAAGCTCTACCGCCCACTACCCCTCATCCATAAGAAACGACCGGAACGCTGACTTTAGCTTCTAGACACCCAGAGTGGTGATAGACAAACTGGTCGAAAAGCTCAGATGTCGAATATCACCGCAGCCAAAACGTAGGAGCTCTTCACAGCACATACCAAGCACCCCGCCATTTCAACAAACCAGAACTGACACATAAATAGTGTCGCAGATATTATTCGATCATGTTTGGGCCCAAAAGCTATGCTAAAGATGTTGTTGGATCCTATGGGCGGTATTGTTTTGACAAATGACGGACATGCCATTCTCAGAGAAATTGAAGTGTCACATCCTGCAGCGAAGAGTATGATTGAGTTGAGCAGAACACAAGATGAGGAAGTCGGAGATGGAACTACTAGTGTTATTATTCTTGGTATGAAAAGGTTTTAGAAACTTGTAAGAAACGGGGCTGACAATTTCTAGCTGGTGAAATGTTGGCACAATCCCTTCCACAACTAGAAAGAAACATCCACCCTGTCGTTATTATTTCCGCTTTCAAGGCCGCACTGAAAGATGCTCTCGAGATCATTGAAGAAATTTCCCTCCCAGTCGATATCAACGATGATAAAGCCATGTATCAACTCATCTCATCCTCAATCGGCACAAAATTCGTTTCTAGATGGTCTGAACTCATGTGCAGCTTAGCACTCAAGGCTGTACGAACGGTAACTCACGATATCGGAGGTGGCAAGAAAGAGGTTGACATCAAGCGTTATGCAAGAGTTGAGAAGATTCCAGGTGGAGAAATCGAGGACAGCAGAGTTTTGGATGGTGTTATGCTCAATAAAGATATTACCCACCCAAAGATGAGACGGAGAATCGAGAACCCCAGAATTATCCTATTAGATTGCACATTGGAATACAAGAAGGGAGAATCACAGACGAACATTGAAATCAGCAAAGAGGACGATTGGAACAAGATTTTGCAGATTGAGGAGGAGCAGGTCAAGCTTATGTGCGATTCTATTCTTGCTCTTAAGCCAGATTTGGTCATCACTGAGAAGGGTGTCTCTGGTATGTTGACTGCTCTCGTTATAGTTTGTTTTGCTAAACCTTTATAGATCTCGCACAACATTACTTGATGAAAGGAAACGTTACTGCACTCCGTCGTGTCCGAAAAACAGATAACAACAGAATAGCTCGTGCAACTGGCGCCACTGTCGTCAATAGAGTGGACGATCTCCAAGAATCTGATGTTGGAACCCAGTGTGGTCTGTTCGAGATCGAGAAGATTGGTGACGAATACTTCACGTTTTTGACCAAATGCGAATCGCCCAAGGCATGCACTATCTTACTGAGAGGTCCATCCAAAGATATCTTGAATGAGATTGACAGAAACTTGGCTGATGCTATGGCCGTTGCACGAAATGTCATGTTCCACCCCAGATTATCGCCCGGAGGAGGTGCTACTGAAATGGCTGTTGCAGTCAGACTAGGTCAACTCGCAAAGAGTATTGAGGGTGTGCAGCAATGGCCATACAAGGCTGTAGCTGAAGCTATGGAAGTCATCCCAAGAACTTTGATTCAAAATGCCGGTCAGAGTCCAGTCAGAGTCCTCACAGCATTGAGAGCAAAGCATGCTGAGGGCGGAAGTTCATGGGGTATTGATGGTGACAAGGGCACTTTGGTTGATATGAATGAGTACGGTGTTTGGGAGCCAGAGGCAGTCAAATTACAAAGTATCAAAACTGCAGTTGAGGTATGTGGATATATGCTTAGTGTTTGCGAGCCTCCAACTAATCTAATTTAATAGTCCGCCTGCCTCCTCCTGAGGGTCGATGATATTTGCAGCGCCAAAGCCGCAAGAGCACCTGGTGCACCTGGCGGTGGGGAGGAATAGTCCTTCCAATGTCAGTGTATAAAAAAAAAGTGATGATAATATGGTTGATCATACCCTTTTAGCCATAGCATGGAGCTCACGGTTAATGATTGCATGTTCCTGTTTATGACAATGAATAGATATCAAGCCAATATACCATTTTTGGCCACTCTTTCCAATCCCTATGAAAGTTCTGACTATGCAGGAGTTTGAAATCACTGGTGAAGTTGAGCTTTTCCTGACTCGAATTATCCATCAATCATCATCGTGGATGATGACGCCGACTTGTTCCTGTGCCTCTCCAACAGTATTTGTCCCAGATACTTCATTGTCATCATCGTCTTTAAGATTTGCATCAATCCTAGGCATGAATTTCCCTGCTTGCGCACCGGCAAAAACGCTGGAATGGTCGCCCTTACCACCTTTCTTCTGTCTCTTCTTCTCCCTCTTCTCCCTAGCCTTCCTCGTCTTTTCGGCATCTTTCTCTTCCCTTTCCTTTTTCTCCCTCTCCCATCGCTCCGCCTCCTCTTCCTTTTTAACCTCCTCATCCATCCCTTTCAATCTCTCATATTCCCTTCTACGACTGGCTTTGTATACGTGAAACTCCCCCGATCCAGCTCCTGCAGAACTTCCTTGCACATTCTGCACAATTTCAGGAACAGCTCCTGTTATTCTCGTGCCTAATGCATTTTTCTCTGTGAATTTTCCATCTTCGGGTAAGCCGACGGACATCAACTTGTTGATATGAGAGGCGGTTTCTGAGCGAGGAGATATCGCACGTCGTTTCAGAGGACGCTTGGAACGAGGGTCGGCGGATGTGGGAATAGATTCGGGGATGTTTTCGGACATTGTTGAAAATGCTCTGATGACTGTCTGTTGTTGGCCAAGACGTTTCGCTCTGGGTGTTTCTATTGTGATCTCGGCGCTGCTGATTTATGGAATTGCGGAAAACAGCTCCGATCCTTTACTATTTTGTAGCTATTTTGAAGTTTGACGAATAAGGTTTGTTTTATTTGGGAGTTTAGGTTCTGCAGCCTTGTCGCCAGCCCCTGACTAATCTGCAGCCTGTGCCAGGCCCGCCAAATTTTGAAATGCCATTTATATGTTTCGTCACGTCAAATTTACTTGACGATAAGACGATAACGAACGACCGTTAGGAGAGGGGTGGCAACTTGAAACAACTCACACGGCATTCCTTCCTCGGCATTGTTACAGAATCTGATTTAAGCCTCCTTTCTATTGATCTTACAAATACAAGATAGCACTTCATTAGCTTTCGTTCCGCTGTTCCTCAAATACTCTTTTCTGCTAAAGCATATACATCCGTGGAACGGAAGATTATGGTATTCGATTTGCCAATATGGGAAAACCTCGTATGATCATCTTGATTAGGCATGCTCAATCGGAGGGAAACAGTATGTTCCCACGATCCCTTCGTTCACGAGGCTGCCAGCCTTTGTTATCGGTTTCTAGCTAACCTATCCAGAGAACCGTGATATTCATCAAACTATACCCGATCACCGAGTAAAGCTCACTCCCGAAGGCTGGACACAAGCTCATGAAGCTGGTTTGCAACTGCGAAACCTCTTGCGTCCAGATGATACCCTCCACTTCTTCACTTCTCCCTATCGAAGGACCCGCGAAACTACAGAGGGAATTTTGTCTACCCTGACCTCCGACTCACCGAGCCCTTCTCCGTTTCCAAGGCACTCTATAAAAGTATATGAAGAGCCCCGCCTTCGTGAGCAAGACTTTGGTAACTTTCAGCCCTGCAGTGCGGAAATGGAGAGAATGTGGCAAGAAAGAGCAGATTATGGGCACTTTTTCTATAGGATCCCTAATGGAGAGAGTGCGGCGGATGCATATGACAGGGTGAGTGGATTTAATGAGAGTCTGTGGAGGCAATTTGGGGATGATGATTTCGCAAGCGTTTGCGTTCTAGGTATGTTCTAGCATTCACGTATATCTTAATATCCCTAACAGTGGCAGTGACTCACGGACTTATGTCTCGTGTTTTTCTGATGAAATGGTATCATTTTTCTGTCGAGTATTTTGAAGATCTTCGAAACGTCAATCACTGCGAGTTCCTTATAATGCGCAAATCGAACGATTCCGGGAAGTACATATTGGAAAATCAACTACGCACATGGTCTCAACTGAGGCAAGAGCGTCTGGCGATTGCCGCCGCAACCAAAACACTTTCCTCAACGCCCGAAAATGGGCAAACCTCTGGAAAGGATAAAGAAAAGGAGAGCAGACTACTGGGAGCCGGTCGCTCCCCTGCAGGTTCTTCTAGCCCAATACCAACAAATAAGAGATGGGGTGGTTGTCCAAATGGCTGCGACCACGGGAAGCACTACTACAAGAAGGAAAACTCCATGCATGCCATGCAATTGAATGGTCGCCCAGTCGCCTCGGCATCCGCTTCATCCACGCATATAGAGACGATCGCAGCCCGTCGACCCGCGGCCCGTCGCTGGCAATCTTCCTCCGACGAAGACGAGGACGATCCAAGGGGGAAATCTGGGCCACCTGAATTAGATGTCCAAAAGAGTCTCGAGGAAACCGTTAGCAGTCCCGATGGAACACCCAGCTTCATTAGCATAGAAGACCGACTATGTAGTCGCATTCGAAGTCCCAATGATTTACTTGGCATACGCCATGCGGGAAGAGATGGAGGCGGAAGCGCTAGTGGTGCTAATAGCGATGCCGAATTCAGCGCAGAAGAAGATGTTAGGAAAAGGTTAGCGAAGGGGCGAAACGGCAATAACGGGTTGGGAATCTCAGTATTATCGCGGAAATCAACAAGAGAAGAATCAGATGGGATGGGAAAGGGAGTCAAGGCTGATGCTTTAGGAGATCAAAGTGATGATGGGGATGACGATGCAGGAGGACAGAGTGATGAGGGTGGTGAGCCGAGTCCCAAATTACTTGAGATTCAACAAGCTGAAATATTGGACAAAAGTATCAGGGGGAGCGTCTATTAAGTCTAAATTGTGAAGAGAAAAAAATTACAGGGATGGGAAAGAGAATCATAATTTTGGGGGTTTAGGTACCGGACGAAAAGACATACATAATAAGCGTAAAATTTCGCGGTAATCCTACATATCGAATGAACGATTGAACAAGATGAGAGACGATTACAAGTCATGTAAATCTTGGACTAAATAAGATGAGGACGAGGAAATGGTTGGATTTGAGCTCCAATACCACTATCACTCATTTTGACCCTCGTTCTCATCTCCGTGTCCATGTATTGACCAAATTTTCTGTACGCCTACCCAAGTATCATTTTCCCTGCCGTCTTTCCTACGCTATAGAACTAATCAACCTTTATACTACAGTTCAACCAGTCGTCTAGAATACAGTATCAAATTTCATAATATCCAAGTATTTGATAGCACGCACTTGTCCTCAGATCTAAATACACACCCGCTAAAAGAACATTTGATTTAAATCGGATCGCCTTCATGATTGATTTCCTTCTTGGCTCTGCTTTTACACCTGTTACCTTTTCCGAGTTGTGCGAAATGTGTATTTACTACGTTGAATGCATTTGGAGATGCACTACTACTCGAGTAGTTTTGTTCGCTTATTGATGGTGATTCTATGATGTAAAGGGGAACAGACAGACCAAGGGGGGTATATAGGTAGAAGAGTAAAAGCATCATAAAAACTTACCTTGATACGATTGTGCTTGAACTAGATTGATAGAACCGAAAATCATTTTGATGGAAACCATAAACAATTTGGTAATTTCAACTTTTGGGGAATGTTTGAAAAGCTTCAGGTTGGAGAGTTGGAGAAGAGAAAAGGTGAAGAGGAAGGGTCACTGGTGTTTCTCGCCGAATCAATTCGCACTAGATTGAGATCTCAAAACACCTTCCTGGTCCTTCTCAGAGTATGTTGTAGTACAGTTGACTCTATCCGACTCGTATTATACGGGTTCAATGGTTACGTAGAAGCTGGCTGCTATATACTACAAAGAAAGACACCGTGTGAGATAACAGTCTCCATCTGGATAATTGTGTCGTGTCGCATGTCATCATATCATCTCATATCTCATTCAATCCTGTTTCCGTCCATTAATGTCGCCAGGACAATCCAAAGAAAGCTCCCGAAAGTAAAGTTCATCGCACCAGCCTATCCATTGCCAGCGTTCACAGGTATTAAGTTTTCCCACTCCGTTTGTATTAATCTTACCTTTCCAACACATCTCTTCCCACAATTAGATCTCATTATTAAATTCATTCATTGCGTCATCCTTTTCGTTCGGAGTGCTCCAACAGTCACAATTCACAATCAAGAATCGCTGGCGATTCAGCAACAAAGGGGGGTCGTTAGCCGAAGCTGAGCTCTACATGGCAATTGTTAGTACGAGCACACTAGATTAGTATGGATCAAGATATCATTGCATAGACATACCGGCATAAACGGGAGCTTGCCAAGCCTTAGCTTTAGGTCTTGCTTTTCCCTCTCCCGCGCCTTTACCTTTTCGCTCGCTACCTTTTCCACTACTAGTTTTTGTATTGATACTAACACGATCTCCTTCTCGTCCTCCAATTGGCGACAAAGGAACTCCATTATTCACTACCGTCGCTACCCTTTCCACGCCATATATTACACCTCCATTTCCAAGAGGTAGATTTGCCATCGTATCACCTGCCACCGAAGCGCACGCTTCTGCCGCGGCTCTCTGGCTTGCTAGGCGTAATTGATCAAATCCAAAATTCCACTGATCTTCAGTAATTCGAGTTTCGCAGTGTATTTCTCCTCTTTCTGTATTGCTTTCTCCAGAATTATCTCTCAGGCCACAGTGTTCGGTTAAGATGGCGTATATTCTCTCTTGGACTTCCGTTGCTGATGGTCTTTCATCTGGCTCGGGCGAGAGCATTCTTTGAGAGATCGCAATCAATTGAGAAACGCCTCGAAAAATTTTGTCCTCTTTTTTTGTGGCGTCTTTGAGAAGCGTATTCATCCAGCTGTCGACTTGTCCCAAGTTTTTATGGAAGCTGGAATCTGGCATTCCACCACCGCGACCCGGAGTTTTGTTCTTAGAAGATCGATGAGAGGCAAAATTCCTTGTGGCTCGCTTCATAAGAAATGTTATAATTTCAATGAAAATGGCTCCTAAAGCAAATATATCGGCTTTTTGGGGGTCATGTCTGCCAGCTCTGCTCTGTACCCTGGTTCGCGTCGGACCTGAGCCTTCTGATTGTGAGCTCGTCGAAGTGGTATAGATTGACGAAGAATCATTTCCCAAGGACGTTGAAGCGGTTTGAGACATAGACTCACTCGGGATACGAGCTGGCCGACTAGAAGCCGGTGGTCGCGATGACACTAGCCGGGTATTGGAGAGGCTGGATGTAGAAGCTGCTGTATAATGATGCTGCTCTGGGGCAGAATAATCGTAGGTCTCTTTATCAAATCCTCCTTTCTCTCCAGTGGAGAGCTGTATAGGGAAAACACCAGAATCACCTAGAAATATATGATTGTCAAGGTCGAGCATCACATTTGAGGGCTTTATGTTACGATGCGAAAGACCAGTTCTATGGAGAAAGGATAGAGCACCGGCTAAACAGTGAAGCCAGTTTAGAATGAGGATACGGCGATCCTGCTTTGCTAAAATCTTGAAAGATTGGGGTATTATTGTGAGAAAGGATTTGAGCGAGTGGACGTTTGCCGGAGTCAAGAGTAGATAGCCTTTATCCTGGTGTACATAAGACGCCCACAAGGAAGTGAAATGTGTATGTTCGACCTCTTTCATTGCTTGAATGCCCGAGAGAAATTCTTCATGCAGCATTCGTTCTGGCGAATTGCCTAAGAGTAGTCGTCGGCGTAGAAAGACAGTGTCTGGCCTACCAGGTAAATAGACTTTGTCAACACTGTTCGGCAGAAGGCTAGTTACTGATCTAGCGGGACTTTTATCTACTGGCTCTAACGGTACCACTTCTACATCATCGTAGTAAATATGTTCGCCTTTAGCAATATATCTAAGCAAGTAGTTGAATTGGCGCTGGAAAAACTTCTTCTCCAACTTTTCGTTCCTGTCGTAGGTCAATTGTAGTCTGCCAACTTGGTTCATGGGTATTGGTAAATCATCATCACCCCAAGAATCGTCGATGACACCAAATATTTGATCTGGCACACCCAATTCCACCAAAATCAAAAATATTTTCTTGGCCTTCTCTTCAATCCATTCCATATACGTGTCATCGGTCAAGCCGTCGCCAAAGCCTAATGGCTCGTCTAGACGCTCTTGCTCGTCTGGACGTAATTTTGATAACACAAATTGTCGTGTAACAGTGGTTTGGATTCTTTCCTCATCCCACCACATTGTAGGCATATCGTCTAAGATTCCATTCGAAGTGCGGGGGACACCAGCACCGGCGAAGCTAGCATATATCTGAGGGTTTGTACTCGCTTGTTGCTTTCGATTCATAACCATGGAACTTCTCCTGTACTCCATGGCTGGAGTTTTGAGGAATTCTAACAAGTTGTTATAGATCCAGTACGAAAGTAGAATTGTTGCGATTGGCAGATAAGAGGCTAGTGATAACAAGCTGGATGTAATCTATTGGCAACAGTGCGAAAGCGGGAACGAGGATCAGATGGTGAGGGGCGAAAACATGAGGGAAACCCAGTTAAAAAGGATATATTCCACTTTTGATTGATCGCATGGGTGAGACAGAAAGTCCTGGAGAAGGTTTAGTGGGTTTCAGTGCATTGGATGCAATCCTGAAATGCATGAACTGCTTGATAGTGCAAGGGATTGAATTTGTCGAAAGGAGTAAGCAATAGGTTTATCGCTATCCTTGCAATCTTGTCCGGATGCTAAGGCATAGCGCGGTGACGAAGCTCCTTATCAAAGTTTCTTTGACAGCAAATATTGAGTGAGACAAGCCTTATTTGTGTATAGTATTACCAAGGTGATCTAAGGTCTTGGTATGTATCTGCACTGTGCAGTATCGCTATGGTTGAATTGTTTTTGGTTACTCAAGTTGTAAATAGACCCGGGATTTGCAGCTTGTCCAGACGGAAACAATGTTGTATATAGCGATACAATAGATGAGCGTTGCGAAGCATGAATCATCTAAATGGTAAGAACGATTTCCAGATATCTGCGTTGATATGACAGATCATGTTTGTGTATGACTTGAAAATGAGCTGTACCATCCCCCCGGCGGGGTTGAAGAAATACAAGATCCGAAAAGCTCACTGATGAGAAGAACTCGTTATGGAGATCAGTTTTGCCACGAGGCGTTTCTGCGGTTATCTACAGGACAATATCAATGCCATGCTGCTGGAGGATGTCTCATTGCATGCGGAGTATATGATTGGCATTATCCAAACAATCCTCCGTTTTATTTCGCAAAATGAGCCTTCGTATACCATTTCCTATTCAAACTATTGAAAGATCCTTCTAGAGAGTCTGGGAGGATCTCTGGTTTGGTGTGCTTTCGGGTAGGTGTCTCGTGTTTGATTCATTCAAACAACTTTGGAAGACTTCTGCTTCAAGTTTGTGTAAATGGTCCCGAGGTCACGATAAGCTTTGACAGTACCTACACAGTAAATAAATGTACTTGGATACGTGGGGGTCATAGAACATGTGGGTGGTCGATTATGAGTTTCGCAGGGGGGCTCGCAGTAACGACTCATCTTACAAGGCTGAGTTGTAGATCGTTTTCTTCAATTCGTTGCTGTCATAGACAGAAGGGTAGGCAGATTCTGATTCCAAAGCGTGGAGTATCAAGTTCCTCCCTGCACTCCATTCTCTGTTGGCACAAAGACTGATCAAGACAGGCTAAAGTATTCATTTGTGGTACTGTTCCACGTACCGAGCCGAGGCCCTATCCTCGGGTATTTATGTGCCACCCCACGAAGGATACGTGAATTGAGCTTCCTGATAAATATGAAATAATCAGTCGAGAAGAAACCGGCATCATCATGATAATCAAAGCCACATCAATTGAGACCAGCTTTTCGAGGCGGCTCATCATGTCGACACTGGGATGTTGTCAGTCAGGTATTAAAAGATAAAGGTAGTTGATCCGAAAACATAGTCTCCACTCGGAACCAGACCAGGTTGTAGTCATACAATAGTGGAAGAACGATTGGATATGTACCACGGCAGGTTGATATAAGATATGTGATTAGCCGTAGATAAGTTGTAATTTAGAGAAGCTGAACGATAGCGAGGACCTGGGATTAATTTCCCGTAAGAACCGAATGATATTCTGCACTCCCCCGTTACGATATTGGTGTGCATCACACTCGCCATCCGGATGTGTGATCGGAGAAGGAAAAGCAATAGATGTCATTCGAGCTTCGATATTCTATTGCTGCATCATTTTCAATTCATTCACAGAAGATCACTGTATGATAGGTGAGAAGAATATCGGATGCAGGAAGTTACTCTAATCTTGTCTTACACAGGCGACACGTGATGTGGTACACCAGGCCTTCCCATTCAATTTAAGTGCATGAGAGTCACTCCTCGATTCATCTCTTTTGGGCGATTCTCATATATTTCCCATCTATGATTGATAATTCTATGTTATGTATCAAAATACGTCCAAATCCAACGCCGCCCTACCATTCAAGAGTCATTGTCCTCCAGAATTATAAATCAGCCTTAAAAAATGCAAAATTACAGACCGTGGGTATCGATTTCATCCAATGTTATCGCGTGTCCAGATTTACCTATTCCATAACGCCAATGCTAAAATACCCATCTTCTCTGGCATTCGCCAATGAATGTAACCCGTGCTCCAGCATTGCCCTCCACCCATTACACTATGATCTCGTCGTCATTCATCAGATATAGTATAGATCCTGCGAAGCAACCCGAGACTACTCTCACTGTACCAAGTCTCCTTGGAAGCTATCAAAAGTCTGAATCTGAGCCTTCAAACCATCGTTGATAAGATCTAAGCAAAGTCGAGATGCTGTGCTTGTGTGAGCATGTATATTGAAGATTCATCATAGTTGAAGGATGTACTAACGTCTAGGAACTTCCTCAAGAAGCCAACCGTTTTCTAAAGCCTCTACAGCAGCTTCCAATCTTGCAGATTGGTAACAATGATACTCCTTCTGCAATGCCAGCATCCTTTCCCAGCATTCTGCATCGGACTCTTTGGGACTGGCCAAAACCCGTGACCTCAGAATATCCGGAAGTCTACCGGAATTTCGAGCGAGTGGTGAAGAGCTTTGACTGTCTCTTCCAGGAGTCGAAGGTGTGCTGCGGAGTTCTCTTTCGAAGCTTCCTTCTCGTGAAGATTGTGTCGAGGACATGATTGGACAATGTCGAAGCCACGTGATCGTGATCGTGCGGATATTTAGGAGCGTTGGGATTATGTTGCGAGACACTGTATTGGGTTTCGGGAAAGCCAGAAGCATACTCCAATGATGGAATTGGAAAGAAAGTATTGCGTCAAGCACAAAAAGCAAAGGCAGACGGTTCAGCATGGCTGGCACTTAGCTTTATATGCCTGAGAATTTTTGATTGCGTATCCACTTCCGAATGTCCCGAGCTTTTTAAGGCATATTGATGACCTCTGCCTCAATCATTCTTTCATTTCATTGCATGAACAGACAGCATAGCATAGCAAATGCCGGAGTATGATTTCGAGCTTAATTTTTCTGCTAACCAATGATCACCAGGCGCACCAGCCAGATGCGTATGACAGCAGATGCGGATAAGCATATGGAATGACTCAGGTTATTGCAGGCCATCCAAGATTGGGGGAGGGCTGTCGCGAGAAGGCTGCTGTTGGGGGGTTGTCAGCGGTTAGCATGTAGCATTGTCGCACTGAAAGGACTAAGTCAGCTCAACGGTCTCCTCTATCGAGTTGGCCGTAACAACAAGTAGTATTCAGGGAGTGACCAAGAAGACAGGTATTGTGTAGAATTGTCTTTAATTTCATCCCAAAGTGTTTACGATTTTCGACTTTGGATGGTGTGTTTGGATGGTGTGTTTGAGCTTTGAAGACGACGGGAGCCAAGGATGCAAGACGGTTTGTAACTTTGTGTGCATGTTTTTCGGCAAATGAGATTTTTAAGTGGGGGAGGGGAGGGGAAAACCATCCAGCCATCACTCCCAGGTAACGATTTTTTTTCTCATGACACTCTCCGTCTCTCACGAACAAGCTTTTGGGGTTTTGGAATATCCACAGAAAGTTAAAAGTGGTCATGATCCAATGCATGGCCCATGTCGATGACCTCAATTTGATAGAAATTTTCCATGTAACTGACTAATAATACCGTACGACAAACAGCTAACCACCACGATGTAACGGATTACTAGTATGATTTTGTGCCTATGAGAATTAGGAATGAATCACAACGACCTAGTAGACTGATGACAGCGACAAGAACTTCGACGCCATGTATATATCCATCAGATTTCAATATGCTTCGTAAACTCCAACTCCCCGATACCGAGAACCCTCATCCTTTTGCATACATCCATGGATACCGTTGATAACTTGATATGCGGTACAGCACGAGGATAGTATTGCAGCGTACATAGTACATATCTATCACGCCACACGGCAGGTGTTCGTAGATCCGCTAACAGGCATGCAATGCAGCACACCAATTTTTCTTGGTCTTTCTCAAAAATCGAATGGAGAGTTACTGTCACTTCCCGAAAGAACTTCCGGTCCACGCAAACAATCTGTTAGATCTCGAATCATTGTTCACAATGCTATGTTGTAGGATGCATCTCTCCGTCCAGTCAAACCTTCGCCTGAGACTTTGTGTAACCTTATACCACCCTCCTATTAGATATCCCTAGCGCCTGAATATCAAAAATCGATTCCCTTTTACATTAATCATGAGCAGTGAATGTTGACCTCATTATGGATCGCGCATATTATATTAAAGTTTTTGGTATGGATCAATGTTTTTGCCACACAGCGAGATTCAATCATATTGCATGAGGAACTCCTGAGATGAGATTAACAAGAAGAAGGACTTCATGCCTCCTATTTGACTCGGTCAGTCAAAGCTGATACTGACTTCGGACCTAGTCTAGTTAGTGGCTGCTGCGTTTTCTATCCCGCGTGATAAATTGGTTCCTGGTGGATTAGCAAAAACAAAAACTTTAATGGATTGATCCCGGCCCAACGTGCGGGATCTACGGATTACGTCCCGGAGAAGCGGACAAGCGGACAAGTCATGGCCGCCGGAGTGAGCATCGGATGTGTTACAATGAATCGTCGTTTTCACCTAAGTTTTGGTCCCTGATCAGCAAGCAGCAAACTCTCTATGGGCAAAATGTTTAGCTCAATCGAACTAAAAATTCAAAGACCTCATTTCATTCCGGTACGGGGAATTGAACCCCGGTCTCCCGCGACCTTTTTGAAACTCGAAAGTTTTCCATGAGAGGCGGAAATGCTAGCCACTACACCATGCCGGATGATCTATTATTTTTAATGAACGATCATCTTTTGTACTAATATCTGTACTCCACGTTGGTTAATCAAAGAAAACCTGCAGAGATTTAAGCGAGCATCACGTGGTAATGGCTACTTGGCGAGAGGTGTGGGGTGAATTCGATGTGGTTTTTTAATGTTGGTGTTTCATTCTAGTGGGAAAAAGAGAGGCACAACTAAAAACGATTTGTGAAGGGGTAATACTGCATTAGTTTTCTTGTACCTGGCATTTCCACAACTTGATGGCTGAAGTCGCAATCCATCTCTACGCATCTTTCTCTCTTGGCTTCTCATCTCCCTCCGTTCCCTCTCAATGGAAATTCGAAAGTTCGAAAATCTGGTATCTGCTGAGTCTCAAATGCCTGGATCAATTGATATAGATCAGAGGGTGATCATATTCATCATCTTGATGGTTTTTTAGGAAGTTTACAGAGAGATATGTGTGTTCGACTTCATGTCTCTACTTGCCCCAGTGATTGATTAATTAATTATTGTTATATTGATATTAGAGAGAGCGAGTCATCTAGCGCTCATACCCAAAATTGATTTCGTAGAATTCCGCGTCTTCTCCGATAAAGTTGAAGTTACCTCTGATTTGACTACTCACGTTGATCATCCAAAGTCTTTGCTGGTCTAACGATATCCACGTTTTGCTACCATGTTCTCCTAGAATTTTAGATAATCAAGGTTATATATATTCTTTCGTTAACTTGAATCGGCAATATCTCTACATCTTTGAGGGAGAGAGATGCTAGAAGTCAATATTTTCTCGTCTATTAATGTTAGTCCTCAATGTGTGAACTCAAAGAAGAAGAATGATTACGCCTTATGTACTGATTTTCACATTGGCATCTAAGTCCACTACCCCACTTTCCGACCACCCCCTGTTTCCGACCACCTAAAAAATTCATATTATCTACACTTAAAACTTTAATAACTCAATAACTATTGAACTTCAATGAAATCGCCTGTAGAATCACTTTCTATAGCACTAGAGCTATCATCTACCTCATCTTCACGATCTCCAGCTTCAATTTGTGTACGCCTTATAGCTCTAATCCCTGCGAACTTCGAATTTGGAGATACCACAACCTTTCGCCTTTTTCTAGGTAATGCTTCATCTAATTGATATTCTAGCTTTCTAATCTTATTCTCTGCCTCTAAGAGTTCATAATCCTTAGCATCGAATCCTTTTATAATCTTGCGAAATAGTAATCTTCGTGTTGGCAAATCGATCTCCTTCTCTTGAATCATTATATCTCTATATTTTCTGATATCGGCTCCTTTTTGAGGGGTTTTCCATTGAATAAACGATGAATATATATTCCATTGAAGAATAGGATCATCATCAGATTCAGGATTAAGTGATAAAACCTCTCTATTGCTATTTTCAAGCAAAAGTCGACTCATAAGAGGTTTAGCCATATTTTTGGGCCAAAGACCACTAGCTTGCCACCCAGACTTGATATTTTGAATAGTTAAACCTTCTATTCTAGCCTTCTGATAGCAAGAAAGGAAATTGCGCTTTCCAATTGGTGAGGAATCGGATAATAGACTTAATTTATTAAGTTCGATTCGATATGCACTTTTTAGGGGTGAGAACACAGATAAATCGAGTGGTTGTAGTACGTGTGACGTATGTGGTGGGAGAAATAAGAGATATATGTTGTTATTAAAGCATTCTAACATAAATGCTGTAGTTTCATGGCTTCCGTGTCCGTCCAAAATGAGGAGTCTTGAATTTTCCGGCTGAATAGGGGTAGTTTGAGGGATATAGATCTTTTTCAGCCATTCTAAAGCTGTAGCATCTGTAGTCCATCCATTTTCTGTAGCGGTAAAGTTCCAACCCTTGAATAGAGTCAAATCTGTTGGAAACCATTGTTGTTGAACTGATTTTCCCTTATATATTACAAGGGGAGTAATGCTTTTTCCATTGGCTGAAATGCATTCTATAAAAGAGGTCCAAATTCGAGATCCAGGTTGCTTTTTTTGAATAAATCTTCGATCAGTGCTTCCTACTACTAGTCCATTAAGACCCTGACCCTCCATTATACCTGCTTCATCCATATTCCATCTGTTGGCCGGCTTAATAGCCTTGATTTCAGGGATTGCGAGGTTCCGGAACCACTTCTTAATAATATCAGATGTAGCACCTGAAACTCGTGCAGAATCGATTTGATGTTGCTTCTTAGTTCCAATATTAGGATGCCTTCGAAAAAAGCTATGTATCCATTTCTTTCCAAGTGAGGGATCCTCCCCTCGTACAATAAGGAGGTGCTCTGCCATCTCTCTGATTTGACGATGTGTAGGGCTAGTACCAAGAGCTTCCTGTACTAATATCCATTCTGCTAGTCGATTCTCCTGAATTGGAGATAACTTTTGAAGTATTTGGGCGCCTTTTTGATGCGAAACTCCACCATATATTCGATCGTGAAGTGTGGTACGTGGAACACCATAATCCAAGCTAGCTCTTCGTATGCTTGCTCCATTTGTAATCGCTCTAAGAGCCTCTGCGATATCTTCTTCGGTATATCTATTCTTCATATCACAATTATAATAATATCAAAATTTCAAATCAATTGATTAAAGCATTGTTGAGTTATTCAAAGTATAAATTTTATAATTACTCAAAGCGGTGTGGTTTTTGAGGTGGTCGAAAAGAGGGGGTGGTCGGAAAGTGGGGTAGTTGACTTATTGCACCTTCTGCTTCATGTCTGAAAGACATGGAAATATACAGGGAAACCATTCCTCTGTCTTTTCTGAAGATTTCAAGAGCATTCACTGGTAAATTTGGCTCATTCTCAATATCTTCCTTGCCAGAATGCGCAAAGGGTCATTCACGTCGTTAGACGGTGCAAAAGGATTATCTTATGCACATTCATCTTCAGTGGTAGCAAATTGATATTCTCCACATAAACCAGACCCTTTGTCAAGCATCTGTAATAGAGAATTCCTCAATGACACTATCATTTGCACAACAATAAGCGATTATCTTCGGGTGAAGTGAAAGGAGACTAAATTTGCCCAAGGAAATTGTCTTTGAGGCACAGAGGGCGTGAAATCTGTATCTCGACACATGGTTCAGTATTTATGCTTGAAGGTAGTAACATAGAAAACTAAGCTTGGCGTGATTTACCCAGGTATGTCTGTTCAAAATTATATAGCATGCGAGCACGAAAGATTGATTCCTCGAAAGAAAGCTCGTTGCCAGCCACTAAAACCCAGTCGCTTTACGACAAGCCGAACTCAAACCCTGAGTGAGATTATTCTAAGTTTGGACTGGCTGGAAATGAATCGAACTATTATGTTGTTAAATCGGATATCCGGAAAAGGAAAGGAAAAGTTCCATTATTTGGATTCATATATCTACTTAGGAGATGAGGCAGTGTGGAGAATTTCACCACTTGGTTTGTAGCAAGTCTTAGATATTCATCTATTGCTGAGAATTGTATGCTAAATAAGTGACGTATCAGGACTATTCAAAATCACGAAGTCACTCAAGCTTAGCTTTGAGTTAGAGAGTAATTCAAGTCATATTAATTGACATACACTTCTCAGACCAGGCTGAACACATACACTTCAACATGCAACATAAATTCCCCCGATGGAGGCTGGCTAGAGGATTGAAATTGTAGTTTGCAAAGAAACAACTTGACACGGAGGCTGAAGGGGGAACATTTGAGGAAAATCTCTTACCTTTCTCGAATACTCCAGCTTTCTTCCTCAAGACAAAAAGCATGCTATTATAGCAAAAGTCTACAATCGGGTTTGATTGTACGATTGGGTATATTGCAATGCAATCTTTCCAAGCTATCCCCTAGACCGCCATTATATAACACCTGAGTGATCCATGCATTAAACAAAATCATCAATATCTTCATAAATAATATTGATAATAAGAAAATCAACAAATACATAATACACAACAATTCTATCAATATAACTTCAATTAATACAGAATTTGATTTTATAAATACAGGAATATTACACCCAAATATCCCTTTTATTTTGAAAACAAAAAGTTCTTTCGAACCTATAAATTTTATTAATTTCAATTAAAAACTTATCCTACAAATTAATACTCAAAAATATAATATACTCAACCTATTTTATATTTATTTTTTTATTAAAATAATAAAATTAATAATAAAATAAACAAATTCATATATATAAACACTAAAAGATAAAGAACTTTCAAATTTACAAACATTTCGATAATATTCTATAACATGTTACGGAGGTACCCGTACCGCAATATGGATTATAAGGTAAAGGCGAGTTTTGGTGTTGTGATCTACAAAAACAGTATTATGGGAATTGTGAGATTAAAAGGTAGTTAGGAATAAGGGTAATTGAGTAAGTAATTAGTAATTGGGAAAAGATAGGTATCTATATTTGTTGATACTTATTTTATAATAAGTATAAGGTAAATAGTAATTATGAGTTAGTTAGTAAGTATAGGTTAAATAAATAGTAAAAGTATTATAAATCATAAGATAAATATTATGTAATAAATAGACAGAATAGACGGGCTATCTAGGCTATCTGTGAATAGATAGGATAGATAGATTATTCAGGCTATTTAATAAGGATAAAGGTTTATATAGGAAATGAGTTTTATTATAATATAGAGCTTTATATTTAAGAATAATTATTAGTTTTATTATTATAGTTATGAGAATTGTAATTAGTTACAACTTTATTGAATTCCTATTTGAAGTTTAGTCTAAATCATTTTGAGAGAACTCTAGATACTTTCACATGATCCTAGAGGCAGCTCCCGTAACAATTTACTTTCTTTTTGATATTTGTTATATTGAATTTAAATATCAACCTCTTACTAAAATAATATATCAAGAGTTTTTTATTTAATAAATACTCCTCCTTAATATAATTAGGTTTTTTTTAAATATTAACATTTATTTAATATCTTATTTATTATTCGAAATATACAAATCTTTATATTCAAAAGTATATTTTCATAAACTAATTACTTTATACCTTTAATTAAAGCTAGTACAATCTTAAATATAAATATAAATAAGTTTAATTAATAACAAGTTATTCAAGATTTAACTAATATTAATTGAGAAAAAGCTTCAATTAGATTATAAAAGGTTTAAGAGATTTATTAATTTAAATTGAAAAAGGGGAGGGTAAATATACAAATTCAAATATCTAATTTCAAGAATACAACTTCAGAATTAAATAGGATTAAACCTATTCCTTAGAATTAAACCTATTCCTTAGAATTCAGATTTTATATTCTGAAAGATAATTGATTTTTTATATATAACTTTAAAAGCTATAAAGAATTCAATCTTTAAAATATAATTAATATATATCTTAATAAATCCATCAATTTAATTATCATATAAACATTTTAGATTATTAAAATAATTAATATCAAATAATTAAATTAAAGAATTTAAATATAATAATAAACATAAATATATAATATCATTCTTTTTATAATATACTTAAAAAGCTATTGATTTACAGTTTTTATACCCATTTAATACTAATATTCAATATTTACTCTTTCTTTAATTCATAATATACTTATCAAAATATTTCAATTATTCTAAACCTATTTTATTATTTGTTTATTTATTAAATATAAATTTAATAATCTGATTTATAGAAAGATTAATTTCAATATATTAATTAAAGAAATAAACTTATTCTTAAATTATTAGAAATAAAAGAATAATTTTATTCTTTTTATTTTTATATATTATTATTATAGTTTATTCTTGATTACCTAATTATACTGATTTACTTCTATTATATTTCTTAATACTAATAATAATCATTATTATATATATAATTTCCATTATAAAATCTATTTTATCAAAATTATAGAAATTTTTATTTAAAATATTATATTTTGCTTATATATTTATAATTAATTGAAATTATTCTTTAAAAAGCTTAAAATCTTTATAAAAGTTTTTTAAAAGTTATAAATATAATTAAAATGTATCTTTAATTCTTTATATTATTTTACAAATTAATATATCTAAAGCTTTTCAATAGCTTTTCTTTCTTTTAATTTAAAAATATAATTCGTTATATTTTTCATCCCTTTAAATTTAAAAGGAAAACCTTTCAAATCTATATCAAAAATATATAAAATAATTACTTACTCTTTTATTTTAATAAGTTTCAGATTTTATAATTGAAATTTAATTATAAAAGTTATTTTATTTATTCTTTAAATAAGTATTATATATAATATTATATAACTTAATAGTTTTCCGAATTAAGAGTTTTTTATCTTTTTCGATAGCTTTAATAATTAAGAATATTCTTCCTTTTTTATTATTTAATTATATAATAAATAATTAATAAATTGTATATTGAGATTGAAAAGTATAAATTGAGGTAAAAATAGTGTACACACTGATATAATGTATACACTGATAAACTACGTTATATCGAATTAAAGATTTATAATTATTTATTAAAGTTACTAACTTTATTCGAAGAATCAATTTCACACGAATCTTATTGAGGTTACTATACTATTAGAAATTATTCACCGATTCAGAATTTCAGATCAATAGGTACTCACGGTCTTGAAAGATTTCATTTGTCCCTTTGGTAAAGCCTTGTCCGATGATACCCTTTGAATATTCAACATCAGATAACGTTATATCATCATCCATTAACATTTCAAATGAGCCTTGCTTACGGTTAATATGGCGGAGGAATTTGAGTGCTTATCAACAGGACGGGCTGCAGATAGTCTCTTGATACGGTATATGGCACATTTTGACATCAAAAATCAAGTTTCTATATCTTGTCGATGTCTGCCTATAGTGTAGTATTCGAACGAAATGGATAGGATGTGATTGTAACTGTCGTGACAAGGACTGAGGTACGAGAGGGTGTGGTGAAGTATATGTGGGACCGTGAGTGGTTCGTGCCAAGCGAACGAAAGGCACCATCAATTGGAGATGCATGTGATCAAGACCCCCTTCCAACAACAACAACAACAACAATAACAACAAGGATTTAGATTGTCCGAAGCTTCTTATTGGTGGTTTTAACGGCTTATCGAGGGGCTGGAAAATTTCCACCTTCCTAACTGTCATCTCTGCATCTTTGCTTTTTACCATATTTGTTCATTTGTCGTGATGTTCTCATTCTACCTACACCTACTCAACAAAGCATGGCCGACCTAGTTTTTGAATGATATTTTCTACCTAGGCTTTGTATGATTTATCTCTACCAGGACAAAACCATATCCAATGCTTCTTTCTGTATATCATTTTGTTTTGCTATGGAATGAATAACCATCGTTCATATGATGGAAGAGAGATGCTACAATGGCAATCGCCTAGATCTTTTCCCCCAGAATGTTTTTCAATACGAATTGCAGATCTGTTTACTTGTTTATGTCCTTCCGCATCCCGCGTCCAATCAAATTATTCATCTAGGCGCAGTAAACTGCCGGTCAAGTGAAAACGGCTCTTCGAGCCCTACTCATTGCTTCCTTCTTGGCCATCCTGATAGGCTTTTTATCTTTTCATGCATTCCGTATACTGGGGCCGTCCACACCCAATAATTCTTTAGTGAAGTAGTGCGCGCTTATGGCTACTTCATCCGCATCCAATGAGAGGATCATAAACTTTGGGGACGACCCGACAGTTTGGTTGAGTGCACTGATTAGGCTGTATGTCGTGGTGTCATCCCGCCGATCCTCGCAACAATATCCGCGACATTTTTGCTTTTCGCATCAAAAGCCCCCAAGGCTCATGTATACCTAGATCAATATGTACAAGGTTTAATTGAAAAATCATCCCTTCTTCTTTATATCTAATATATAGGTTGGCATGGTAGCACAGACCTAGTTCTATATCTTTACGTTCTTTCTTTAGTGTTTCGACAAATCCGATATGTGAAACTGTGTTTGGTGGACACAAGATTGAAATGCTGTATTGGCTCATCTTCATTGATCTGGTGCTGCTAGTCTCATCTATGTCGTCTCCTGGAGAATTCGTCAATCCGAGTGCAGAGGCGACTCAGAATCCGATCTGGGTGACTGGGACTCAACAGATGTTATCATGGGAAACAAATCTTAAAAACTACACCATGGCGCTGTGGAATCAGAACTCGGATGGAAATGGATATTCCAAGGGTCCATCTCTTTTAGGTAAGATGATTGTTTCCTCGTTACCGCAACCCTTGTCTCTTGCTAATGCTAATATCACAGAATCCTATGATGGAGATACATCACTGAACTGGACAGTTCAGACATACGCATTCTCATTATCTTTATCTCCCGTTTTTTACCTACTACTTGTAAGCATGCCAAAACTTATTGCCCAGACATTAGATTGGTATCTTTATCATTTGGGCATCATATCACGGGCGAAATTGTGAGGGCAGACCATGAAAAGCTTCATGGCAATACATTGGACGGGTATAAAGAAAAGTCTTGTTTTCGAACACGTTCATATCTTTACCATGTCATTCGTATCACACATCTCTTTATGCGTCTCAGTTTGTTACAGTGATAAGAATGCGCGAAAGCATGAAGTAACATCATTCATTACATGAAGTTCTCGGATCTAGCATTCATGATCGAATATACTCTCATTGAGCATACTGACAAATTGGTAGGAACCCGGGACTCTCAACGATAACGGCAACATCACCATACCAACCAGTCCATCTATCGTCTCGCATACTTTCAACATAACCTCCACGACACCGAGTGTAGAAGGGGACAAGAAAGATCACAAACTGGGACTTATCCTCGCCCTATCCCTGACTATTCCATTCGTTCTTATATGCACCGCATTAGCTATCTACCTCATTCGTTCGAGACGACGACGACAACGCGCCCTTGAAACTCCACCTCATTATCAATATCCCCATCATGTTGGATTTCGACGTCGGCCAAATCGATTCTTCGCCGCCGCAAGCAGCTCCCCTACTGCATTTACTTTTCCAGATCAAGAAGACTCTCAAGATCGAAGGCGAAAAGGTAGCAAAAGCAGCAACAACAACGGAATTTACTTTCCACCTCCTCCGACCACTCCAAAGTCGCCTCTATCATTCGCATCTAGTCTGAAAAGCCTACGCGGTCTCAAAGGGAATACAATGAGTCCAGGTCAAAATACAATTAATAGTTATCGATTTAGTCCAACGTATCCCCCAAGTAATCCTCGAGGCCCTGGCAAATATCATCAAACAACTCATATATCACCCACATATTACCCTTTGCAAAGAATTTCATCACTTACCTCCACAGAGGCTGGAAATCCGCACATTCAACAATTGCAAGAAGCGCAAGAAGAGCTTACTATCGAGCGTCAAAAACAAGGGCTACGGATGGGTTACCAGCCTCCAGAGATAAGTCCATATGACGAACCTCGAGTCGGACAAGACCATGGGGATCAAAAATTTGTCATTAAACCTTATATGCCACCGGAAATGCCAGCGTCTGTCAAGAAGAGATATCTTGAAGAGCAGGCCGAAGAAAGAATTGCGAGAAGGAAATACGATTATGATCAGCCGGATGAACTGTGGTAGGGAATAATGAACGGTGTTTGGGCTCAAAGACGATGTGAGCTGCGGCACAATTTCGCTTAAAGTTTATCACCCCATCGTCACGGCAATTTTCACTTCTTCGGTATATAATTAAGGATGCAAAGGAATTTTTTTCGGAAATCGGAATATCTGTAGAGACTATATGGAGGGCGCCTTCCGGGATGGCGAAGTAGAGGAGATACCCAAACATGCAATGGCTAATCACGAAGCCATTATTTCATAAACTATCATATAATTCACAAAGAAATAACTTCAATTCAAACGTTTTCCAGTAAGCCTAGCCAATAAAAAACTAATTCTTGCAAAAGCTACTGAATGACCAGTCAATACCACTTCACAACCACTTCGCATCCAAGCCCCTGTTTCATTTGGACCGGTTTCGCGTTCCCTGCATACGTGGATTGAGGCACAGCAATGTGATAATACAACCTGACCCCACCAACAATCAATACCCCTCACTATTGCACTACCTACTCTCGCGACTTGGAGAAAAAGCCGGACACCTAATCCGCAAAAATAGAAAGAATTTAGAAATCAATCCTTTTTCGAAATAGGAAGTAGAATTTTCCTTATATTTTAATTCTTTAGAAACTGATTATTGAGACTCTTTTATTGATAAATAATTGATGCATAAGATTTCATAATTAAATATTGTTTTATTGTTTTAATATCAGATTTGATTGAGATATAGAATCTTGGTGTCCGGCTTTTTCTCCGGGTCGCGAGCTATTTAGCCGGATGTTAGAATCGTACGATGTTAGACTCGGAAAACAGGGTCCATACTGATTTCCATACGTGGGGTCTGAATGCTGTTTCAATTTGGCAATTGGTTGAAACAATAAATTGCATTGAAAGTATACTTAAATCGGGAATTTAGCTAAATAATACTCAACCTATATGCTTATGCTTTTGAATAGTTCGAAGCTTAGTGCTGAAATTGTAAGAAAATTATTTTAACTTTTGGGGTTCGCTTATCAGGCTATCTAAATCCAAACTCTCGGCTCGAAACACCCTAAATAATGACCTGGCGGATGTTAAGTTTTCTGAGCAAACAATTCAATTCTTACTTATATCATGACTTGTTCAGTCATGAAAGTAGGAAAAATACTTGATTCAAACTGTCCTACTATCCTATCACGGGTAAAGATAAGATGATTTGCAGCTAATTTGCCCTAGGAAGAGGTAGGGTTGTGATATTGGTCCATCACCTGGTCTCTTCGCAATAATATACTGCTGCATTTCTGGATCACGCCATGGGTTGTCTGGTTGAAATAAATCAAGCTATTTCGCTCACAATCTCCAGACCCATCGATCGGAAACAGTTTCTTTGGCCCTCTGCGCTCATCAAAAATGTTGGCAGCGGCTCTCCTATAAAGGGGACATTGTAGTCCTCAACGTAGGTTCTAGTTTCATCATACGCGGATTCTCTTTGACATGGTGATCTCCAGGCGATTGCACAAAACGATGATTCCCAGGTTGAAGCGCTCTAGCATATTCCTACACTGCGGCATGAACGGCAGCGTGCGACATCTGGAGATGAGCAAAGATCATGAAGACTCCTGCAAAAGTTTCCTCTCAAATTCGTACTCGGCCATGTCGGCTATGGAGAAGCTACCCTTAACCCTACTTTGTGCAAGCTGTACAATTTTAGGGAAAATGTTGAAGCCGATGACATGTAGACCGGCTTGAGATAACACTTGTGAAACCGGAATTTCGATTCCACAACCAACATCGAGGACCTTCGATCCTGAAGGGGGTATGGAGATGGCCTTCGTCACACAGGGGATTTTGAATTTGTTGTTTTAATGGGCCTTTTCATAATCAATATTGATGCCCTCGAAAGTTTCGAGTCGCTCCTTCGAGCCTGCATCTGTAGTCGCCATAGCTGGGTTGTATTAGATGGCAGTACTCTGAGTCTTATAAGTAAATTGATGGATGGGAATTCAGAAACCTTTTCGTCAATCGGCGTGGAGATTCCGGTTTTGGTGTGTCCAGCTGGTGGTATATGTATTGAGGCTACAATCTGGTTCGAGAAGTTTGATCAATCTAGCCTGCGACAATAACATGTACACGAAAAAGGTTTGCTCCAACACTTCAACAGTGAAGCTAGTGACCTTCTTGATTTATCTAAGAAAATAAACCGGATAATCTGAGGGGAGAGAAATATTGGCGAGGATAAACTGGAAAGCCATTTATCCAGCTATTATACAACTCTACTCAGAGTTATATCGCTATTAGTACTATGGTTACACCTTTGATTATTTTGCTTCCATCTTGCTGTATCAGCGAGGTAGCTACTACATTCCGACAAATTGGGTCTTTTGCTAGAGATCAGGATCCTCCTGAGTCCTGCTTCCGGCTGGTTGTCGAAAGTATTGATTCTCTTGCCACTGTTTTAGGTATAGTATTCTGAAATATTAGATAGATTTCACCCGGTTGGAATGTTCCTCCTCGAACTGTATATGCATAGATCCTCGTGAGCTGTGTGGTGTCTCCCATCAACCTGGCTCCGCATTTGCACTCAACGCCATCAATTCTCTTAGTGTTTTCTCTATTCTCTCAGCCATCCTACTATATCACTATCAACTATTTTATTTAGAGAAGCATGCAAGGGCCACTGTCCAATCGAAGATGGTCTTTTGGAAAATTTGAAATGTGCTACTAATATTGGGCCCTGATCTTCCTAACACCCTTTTGGTTCTTTGCCCCCTGGCCACTTACTCTTCCAGTGGCGCTTGAGAATATGAATTGATCTTCGGTTATGTTTGTTGATGCTTTGAACGTATTTCCCATTTGCTACTTCTTCAAAGCACGATATGTACACAAGGGGCCTATGGTACTTGTTAAGAGGGATGAGTAGGGGATGGTGTAGGAACAAGTGACAGAGAATTGTTCAATCATAATAGATTGGTCAACTTGAACTTCATTTCTACCCCTTTCAAACTTGCATCATTCGCCAAATTACCTGCGCCAATGCCAATATTTACTACATCTCACAACTCAAAATGGGAGATAGTATTGCATACTCGAATCAGGCTCACATTTACAATCACAATCTATCTTTGCACCCATTAAAACCTTCCACCCTCATATCCTAACTCGAAACCATACATCCTTCCCAAATCCTACAAAACACGCACACTTCATCACACAAACCACTCCAACCTCCCATGTTTTCTATAGAGTAGTGATCCTGTGAAAGGAACCTCAAGTCTACACACAATCACCAACAAGTCCCCAACAGCACGTGTCCTACCGTGTATCTCTCCTGATCATCCTACAACGGAAGCTATAGCAGCCACAGCGAGCCGTACCTCTTTCCATAGTATCTTTCATTAAAGAATCATCCGAATGACTACAGCCTTAATTTCCATCTAGTGTGTGTAATATCAAGTACCTATTCTACTAAATACAACGCGGAAATATAGCATCTAATATCTAGAAGGACGTGTTTCAAACTCACTTTATCTACTATCTCTACATCACCAAATTACACTCTTCTCCACCAATAAAGGTTTCTGATCACCATTTCTCGGACCTTTCCCTATATGATGAAGATTATTTGCCATTAGCAGAAGAAATCACCACCCCTCATTTGAATATTCCCACCAGCTGACACGGTCACACACCAACAATTATTCTCCTGAGTACACCACACATTTTCTTGTCCATCCACGAATTCTCAAAGTCGTAATACTATTTCTGTTATATTGAATCCATTCCCTGCATATAAGCTAATACATTCCGCAGAGGCATCCATGACTCAAACCCCAGGAGTCAGATCACTTCACTTCATCGAGCCCACAAAACCACAACGGTTTCTAACTCTCCCGTACGAATCTTTCAAGATGTAGATTTGCTGTATTCTGCTATATTGTACTTTATACTCATTTCTTCATCTCTACTCCTGCAACTTTCAATTGTTGATTTTTCTCATAATCTCTGAAAGCCGGTAAGGTAATATAATCGTGCTCATACATGTATGTACAGAAAGAATCTTCGAAACCATGATCAGCCCTCGTCTCTTTTCATACCTAGGTAGTTGATATGTATGGGTTTTAATGATGATAAGTATTGATATCACCATGAGGATGGTGATGACAATAGTATAATGGTTTATATTTTTAGTATATACATATATTATTACTAACTTCTCATTACTTCTTCAAGAAAGAACTAGAAAAAGAATAGAGAGATATTAAAAAAAATCTTATTCTATCTATCTATTTATCTATCTATAGCTAATGTAGTTCATTAATATGTAGGCTATATCATCATATAAACTATTTCAAAAATACATCAGAATCAAGGTTTTTTTGATAATCAGATTTCAAAAACTAGTAACTATATTTTCGAAAAACATATATTAAATAATAATCAAATAACAGTATTCCAAAAATCTGTTTTAAAACTAAATATTCTTTTTTTTAAAAAAAAAAGATTAGATTTTATCATAATTTTCATTAAAAAAAAGTTTTTCTTCTCACTTGTATTAATAACTATTATAATAATTCAAATTGTTAAAAAATAACTAATTTTTATAATATCAATATAATAAAGATATATATATCAAACTTTTATAGAATTCTATTAATATAGTCTATATACTATTGAATTACAATAGATAAAATGAAAGATATTTGTAATCAATCTGTAACTAATTTAATTGTATTTAAATCATCAAATTCAATTTCAGACTTTTTTTAGACTTTAGTCCTATATTATAGGCTTTGCACTACCTTACGCACAGATGTTCACAGTAGTTTGTTATAAGAGTCGCTACACTGGTCGGAAAAGCGACGATTAGACTAAGAATAATGATGTTATTAACTCTTACAACTTTATCATTAGTTGATTTGTTAACTATATAGATTTTAAGAAATTCTTTCGGTGTTATATTGTGAAAACAGAGCTTCAACTACCTGATTCCATTTACCTTTACCTTTACGTTTGAGATTGTACTGTGCAGAATGTAACATTTATTCTCAAGGCATCATTACGATAATTAAAGCACAATTTTTAGACCGAGAGTCAGAATTGTCACAGTTGATTATGAGTATCTATGTAAATCCCCTACTCAACCAACGCCTTAGACCTTCCTAAGATCCCTCCATCCGAATTCTCGCACCAAATCTGTTTATTCTTCAAAGAACCCCCTTCCAGTTTACCAGAAAACCTTCACCCGCCAATACCCTCAATTAGCTACTTCAACATCTTCTCATCCTTGCCACCCTTCTGAAAGGGCCATTTCCACTCCCGAATATGAATTGGATCAATTCCATTCTCGAAC